CCAGGAAAGCTGTCAGGGCGGGCTGGAATGGTGCCACTCAGCCAGAAAGTCTGTGTGTGGGGGTGGGGCTGTCTGAGACCCGCAGTCTGGAGCGGGCCTCGCTTCTTTCCCCCTCCCCAACTCCAGCTATCCTGGCTCGCCAGTAGGCCAGACCACAAGCACCAGGCCTCCCCGGACTGTGATGCCAGCGGGGAGGTTCCCTGCACGGAACGCCACCTGGGTTTGGCGCATGCCTCCTCCTGGGAGGAGGGTTGCCCTCTAGGATGCCTAATCACCCTGGAGGCACACACACCTCAGTAGGCTTGTTCACGTATAACTTCCGTGCCCTGGGAATGCTAGCCCTCAGTGCAGGGGATCTGGTCTGCAAGTTTGACCTCTGTGTCCCAGAGTTCAGACTGTATCCCCACCAGGGAGAGATTTCCGGTCCAAATCACCACAGGAGCCAAGCTGGGTCTATGTCTCTCAGTCTCTGAGTCGGCACTGTTCTCCTGGGAAACCGTGCCAGCAGCCCTGGGAGGGCGGGCAGGTAGGAGCTCACAGTCTGAGTTCCCTGAATCAGCTGTAGGGTCCCAAAAAGGAAGGTCTCATTCCCTGGAGGTGCCTCTGGCTGGTGGCTGTATTGTCTCTCTGGGCAGCCGCGGGTAGGGTCGGCAGAGGGGAGGAGGAGGCACTATGGTGCCTGCCACGTGGCTCGGGTCTGTGCACACGGAGGTGCCCGGAGGAAGTTGGGAACCTGGTGCTAAATCTGCTACAGGCTCACCGCTGGCTGGCGGCGGCCGTCTCTGGGCTGATGTCTGCAGTTCTCTCCACCCGCTGGGCAGCACAGCAGCCCAAAGGCAGGGGAGGGGAAACAGCAAATCCACCTACCCTTGCCGCTGGTCTCCGGCTGCTCCAGTGGTCCAGCCTCACCAGTTCCATCCGCAGCTCCTCCTAATGACAAGATCAGAATTATATTTCTTTAAAAAAAAAAAAAAAAAAAAAAAAAAAAAAAAAAACATCACTATGACTAAGCTCCCAGCATCATCTAGACCCACGGTACCCAACCCCTGAGCCATGGCCCAGTATCAGTCCATGGCCTGTAAGGACATTGGCTGCATATCACGGCCTGAGCTCCACACCACCTACCACACCCCAGGACACCCCATCCCACCACCCTTGGTCCATGGAAAAATTGTCTTCCATGAAACCTGTCCTTGGTGCCAAAATGGTTGGGGACTGCTGATCTAGACCACCATCTCTGGCCAGTTTGAAAGTCATAGGAAGTATATTTCTTTATGTCTTCATTAAACCTTTATCAATGAATTAGAAATCAGAGTATTCTACTTGCCTGGAAATGCCCTTGGAAAGGCATTGAATTATCTTTAACCTTCTTAAAGAGGGTTTGGATGTAGTGCAAAGGATGACATTGGTTCCTACGTTAGTAAAGGCAGTTGCCTGTTTCAAATATGACTGAGCCAAACTACTACACAAACTTCAGTCTGTCAGGCTCTTAGCACAAAGCAAATACTACTGCAATAATGTATTTTTCAGCAGCATAATGCTTGTAGCTTCTGGAAGCTGCAGGGAGAATTTCCTCAGCTCTCAGGAATGACTGGATTCATGATAGCACCAGTCCAGTACTTTCATCAAAGTAAAACAGGGAAGTCTCAGCCAGGCAGTCCCACAGCAACACTCAGTTTCTCTGTCGAGTCTCTCTTCCCAAGTGGCTCTTCAGGCCAACTCCTGGAATTTCAATACCTCAGACATTTTTTAACTGTGCTCCAAAGTTCTACTGTTTGTGTTATACTCTCTATGAGCTCACAAAAATTAATAATTCCCTTGTGACTTTATTAAATAAAATATATATACTCGCCATAATATTCAGAATGTCATTCTGATTACTGTAATTTGTAATTTCCAGATTTGCCTTGCTTTTGTTTAAACATGTCCTCCCTACATATGGCTATCCATGGCTGCGCACCATACACCTTTGTTACTGTAGGCCAGGAGGCAGCAAACTTTTCTAAAAAAGCGCCAGATAGTAAATCTTTTGGCTTTGTGAGCTAAAGGGTCTTTGTCACAACTATTCAGCTCTGCCATTGTGGCTCAGAAGCAGCCATGGACAGCACACCATGAACGGACCTGGCTGTGCTCCAGTGAGACATTATCAACCAAGAAGACAGTGAGCAGGCCTCAGCCCAGCAGCCATTGCTGCCTCCTCGTATGAGAGACCTTTCCATAACAAGTAGATCAGATAATATTGCATCTAATCTAAAAATTGGGTTTTTTATTTAGCAAAGTACTGAATTCTCTCTAAAGACAGAGACTATTTTGTATTTTTATTGTGACATAACCAAGCAGAGATATATTCTAAGTTTAGATTTTTTCATAATGAAAATTAAACACAGTTTTGCCAAAATACATAATAGCTAGCATTTATTTAAGGTATAATAATTTGTAAGGCTCTTTGGTGTACTTTATTTCATCTAACTGTCAAAATAACTCTATGAAATAAATATTTTTTTCCTTTCCCTTTTGTAGCTGAGGAAACTACATACAACTTCAATGATTCACTTAGAAATTGTCAGAGCTAGAACTTGTTGAACCCAGGTCCGACACCACAACTATATCAACTTCACTGTTTTGAAACTAAACACTAATAGCAAAATTAGCAGTCATGCTTTGAACAATAAGCCTAATGACATTGTTTAATGAGTTCTGAATACAAGTGAAAATCCCATTCAGTCGACATTTCTTCATTTAATATGTGAAGTTGTCATGAGAAACTACAGATCAGTATATGCTATTGTGTATATACAATATGCACTACACAAAAGCATTTTCCTGATATGCATCTGATACTGTATCAAAATTTTAAAATAAGATTAATTCTAATCACCTATTTTAGTAGATCTTTCCTGCTCCCTGGTGATACCCAATTTCTTTTTCTAGATATTAAATAACTATATTCTAACAATCCACTCTAGAATTTTTTGTCTAGAAGAAACTTCAGATGTATTTGTCTATAGTTTTCCTAAACTATAGATTTGCATAGTTTGGCATGTCTCAAGTATTCATAGTTCGTTGATAATCATTGAAATGATTCTGTATCATATCTTCTAGTTTTCCTAGAACACAAAGGTAAGCAGTATCTAAGCCTGGAACAGGAATGTATTGTCAACTACTAACCTCTCCAAACTTGAATCTCAATTTAATCTTAAACAAGTGAGTATAAAATGTTATCATTTGAAGACTGTCCTCCTTGAAGAAAAAAACCATGAGATAAATTCAAATGGTTCTCTTGTTGGTTAACTTTATGCCATCTTCCCCAAATAGAAATGTCCTTTTTATCATTATTCATATTACTATAGGATAACTGTTTTAGAATTCTTACTATAAAGATAACTATTTCTATGCTTTCATAATTTTTTTAAAACCTCAGCTCATTGGCCATCTTTACTCCCCAGATCTCATTTTTATTGGCAGTATACCTTTCATCTATTCACCGTGAGATCAATATTTCTGCCCTTATCTTTTTAAAATATGCTGTATATTAATAAATCCAAGAACAAATGAGAAAAATGTTTTCTTCTTAATAACCACTGTGTTTTCCATAAAAATCAAATAAAGTTGTTTTTTAGTCCCCTGTATATATAACACAATAGTGGTGTATTCAGCAGAAAAGGTTTATAACCCTCTCTTTCCCTCAAGTGCCATGTGAGCTTTCATGAATCTCTAAACCTCTGAAAGTCTTATTGGAGTCCTTCCAAAATCAGACCCCAAGACAAGGATTTTTGTGCAAATAGCTTATTTGTGGTGGGGATGGGAGAGGCGGGAGAGCCCAGGAAGCACAGTGAGCTGGTGGAGCGCGGGGCAGGAAAGGGAGTGCAGGTGAACTCTGGCCGCTCTGTCCATGTCCAGCCCCACACAGGGCTCTCCGAGTCACTGTAAGACACAGCCCAGAACTGTCCCACCAAAGGGGGAGGAAGATGAGAATTTAACCACCAACTCCTGTCCCTCTAATGAGTAGCTCCTGAGGTGTTAGCTCACACCAGCACTTTGACTTGCCCCAAAGTCAAAGGGTGGCCTCACACACAGAGACCCAGAAAGCCGACCCTGTGTGGGGAAACCATCTGCGGGTAACTTCCCACATGAGAGAAAGGCATGTGGACAGGATATGAACAGCATTTGCTATAGTTAGTTTGCTTGATTTTTGATGAGGATAAAAATATTTGCCTCAGCTACCTCATGAAATGGTTGAAAAGATTAATCACGACTAATATTTATATACTGCTTTATAGCTCACAAAGTATTTTCAGAGGCATTTTATAATGCATTCCTCAGACATCCCAGCAAGGACACTCTACATATGTACAATAATAATGGTCTCCATTTAATATATGAAAATCTGAGGCTCAGAAAGTTTAAACCATTTACCTGACATGACGGAGCTAGCAATTAGCAAAGATAGATTTGAACCAGACATGCCAGTGATCCCAGGCTTCTTCCACCACTGGACATGTGAATGTGCTCTGCCAAGTGCAAACCCCCCCAAGTATACAAGGCACAGGGACCCCTCAAGAGGGGTCACACTAAGAAAACAACCTCATAAGCAAAAATTCTTCCTATTTATCAACTGTATGTGTGTGTATGTAGTTTTGTAAAAAAAAATCAATTAGTAAAATGCATGAGTGGCACAGATATGAATCTTTCTGACTCTTCACCATGCTGTGGCCATGGGCACTCCCATGTGCAGCCCTGTGATCAGCTGCTTTGGGAACCACTTAATTGCACTGAGGAGGGAGCAGAACAGAAGCTAAGTCCACCAAGGCACACCCAAGGACAAAGTTAAAAACTAAATGAAGAAGGATTTATGGACAGATTAAGAACTTCCCATTGGTGTAGACTCAGTGTGCACAACCCTATTCTCAATGGAGCTAATAAGAGAATATTAAACTAGCCCACAGTCTCTGTAGCAGCCTGGTCACCTGCGAGCTGAATGGAGCAAAAGGCTGACTTACCTTGGCTTCTGGTCAAGGAATTTCATTCACCAGAAGAGGGTCTGAAGACTCCTCCTATGAAGCAAAGACCCAGGAGTAAGTTAGAAAGCACAGAACCAGATACTTACTGAGCAAAATGTTTTTATTCACCTTGTTTACATTACTGACTTGTTCTAAAATTATCCATCTTCCTGCACACAGACAGTCACTCTGGGGTTTTTCTCCAAATAATATTGGCCATTTACTTTTTACCCTGTACAATTATTTCCCCTCATTTATTAGATTTCCTTAAAGCTGCCCACTGTCCACAGGCCTCCGAGCACAAGTTCAAAACTAAATACTACAATTACATGAAACACAATGGCCAAAGAATATAGTTTCACATAAGAGAAGAGTGGGAAGGTGGTGGGAGTGGAAGGAGTTCACCAGGGAAACCAATGCCAAACCAGAAAGGTACATCTTGTACCTCACCCTGCAGACCCTAGGCATGAGGAGTTATTTGCTAGACTCAGTAAATTAGCAGACCCTTAAAAGCCTGAAGTTGAATTTAAATTTAGGTGCCAGCAGTTCAAAGTGAAGTATAAAGTGTGCCAAGAAAACTATCCCTCTCCCCTAGTCTGTAGCTATATATCTAAGTTCGAGACAGCTCAAATTGAGTCCTGGAGAGAAAGCCACTGGACTCATCACATGCAGAGACAGACAGGGCTGATGTGTGCAAAATGGGGAAGAAGGGCTGGTTACAATAATAGCTAACATTTATTGAGTGCTTACTACATGCCAAGCACTGTTCTAACAGATATATATATACAGAGAGAGACAGAGAGTCATCTAATCCATATAACACTTTGAGAGGCATTTTATCAGTGAGCAAACAGAGTTCAAGTACATGTAATTTGCCCAAAATCACAAAGCAGATAGACAGTAAATATAGATTAAATTCAGACAGTCTAACATTAGAAATGGCTATACCTTCCTAACTCTAGGAACTGAAACTGAAAGTTTCTAAGTGAAGGACTTGCCCATTTACTTTTCTTCTTTCTTTCTTTCTTTCCTTTTTTTTTGGTACGGACACACACAAGCATGATCAAAATGAATTTAGGAATGAAAAGAGCTGGTTTCCAAGCTACTTTTTCATTCTTGTTTGTGGGTATTAAAATCCAAAACAAAAGAAAAAAGCACTCCTGACAGAACTTTCTTCCCTTGTTCTTCTCTTTCCTTTGCTCTTCACTTGTGGTCCACATAGTTAGTCTCTTCTATCTTAAAAGCCAATGCAATGGCTAAGCGAGCAGTGGAAAGTCTAGAATAAGCATGGGAAATGGAAATGATGTTCTGGTTATGCTATTTCTGCCTGAAACACTAACCCTGGTCTTAACTCCTCTGACCTTGATATCAGTATATGATATAGACATTTCTGTTTTAAACAAGCTGCATTTGACTGAGTTCAATTTAAGCAGACACCATATTGTTATAAGTGAGATGGTACAAGACTAGAAATCTCTACTTCTGAAATAACACCTGACCAACCATGAGATGCTTGAGCAAGTCACTTCATGTCTTTGAACCGAGTTTTATACAGAATATCATGAAATATGGCAAGAATGTATAATTTCATGCTGTATCCTAGAGATGTTGAGTAGTAAGTATTTAGTTAAGAGTTTGGACTGAATAGAACATCTACAAATAAAGTAACATAGAAACTTTCAGTTTCAGTTCCAACATGCAAAGAGCTTAGAAATCATCACTCTCATCCTTACAGCAGGAAAAAAGCTGAACAAACTGAAAGCCAAGAACTTTTCTTGGACTCATCAAAGAATTGAGGTTGTAGGGCAAAACACCACCAAAAGCCTGCAGAGACAGGTGAACACAAAGAATCACAGACAAGACCTACTTGCCTAGAGCAAAAGCCACCAGAATCACATACAGGTAGGAAGCTATAAGTGGTAATTTTAAAGAATTCCTAGAAGCTGAGTGTGAACTAGCATGAGAGTCAGAAAGTCTTAGGGAGCACCCTTCACTTTTGTGAGTGTTACCTTTAGGAATCCCACCAGGTTTTCAAGACAGTCACAAAATATCCCCTGTGGCTCTGGCGAGTGAGGAGGTCGGGGTGGGGTGGGGGGTAAAAAAGTAACCATATTTAAATACACCCAGAACAGTCTCACAACAAAAGCTTACTGTCCAGGAAAAAAGAGTCCTACATAGGCAGAAGAATAATTACCCCTCTACCCTTTCTGTCTCGTTTAACTAGAAAAGTGGGAGTGTGAGGAGAAGGAAAGAGAAGATAACAGCCCAGGGAGATAGGCCCACAACAAAATAAATAAATAAAAATTAAGATTTAATCATAAGATTATATAATGCTTGCCCTCCTCCATACCTTACCACCATATCAGCTGGGTTCTAGTATAATAGCGGATCACAGCTGAAAGAGCTGCAAGGTGCAGGCTTTATTGAAGGAAGAGTTCTTACGGAAGCTCAAAGACCACAGGAGGGATAAAAAAACAAGGACACTTGAGGAATTCAAAGTCTCTGGCATCTTATGTAGCCCAACTCCTAGCCTTAATAGCATAAAACCTCACACTAAAGGCTTTTTACTCAATTCCTTTTACCTGATATATCATATCTATCTATTAATGAAAATTGCAAGGCATGCTAAAGGGCAAAAATGAAAAAAGAAAAATAAAGAAAGATAAAAACAAAAGTCAAAACACAATCTGCAGAGAAAAACAAATACTAGATCACACTTTGGTATGACACAGATTTTGGAATTATCAAACAGGGAATTTAAAATAACTATGACTAATATATTAATTCAAAATGTATACAATGTGAAAAACCAAATAGTTAACATAAGCAGAGAGATGGAAACTCTAAGAATCAAAAGAAAATGCTAGAAATCCTGTCCCTCATTGTTTAGGCATCCCTCCTGAGGTATTAGCTCAGTTTTAAAAAAAAAGAGTAACAGAAATGGAAATGAAGAATGCCTTTGATGGGCTCCTCACAAGACCAATACATGATCAAGAAGAAAAAAAAAATGAGCTTGAAGATATATTACAGAAGCTTCCCAAACTGAAAAAAGAATGGAATAAAATAAAGAACATAACATTGAAGAACTGTGAGATAATTTCCAAGGTATGATATATATTAGGATACAAGAGGAAGAAGAAGAAGAAAGAGAAAATAGAGCAGAAAAATATTTAACGTAATGGTGGCTGAGAATTTTCCATACTTAATGAGGACACCAAACCATAGATCCAGGAGATTCAGGGAATAGAGCAGAAAAGAACATCTTAGCTACAGAGAAACAAGAATAAGAATTAAAGTAGACTTCCTATCAGAAACCATGAAAGCAAGAAGAAAGTAAAGTGAAATATTTAAGCACTAAAAAACAAAAACCACCCAGCTAGGGTTCTATGTCCAGGGAAATTATCCTTCAGAATTGAAGAAGAAAGAAGGATTTTCTTAAATAAACAAAAACTGAGAGAATTCAAATCCAGGAATGGCCCTGCAAGAAATGCTAAAAATTCTTCATGAAGAAGAAAAATGATATAGGTCAGAAATTCAGATCTTCAAAAAGAAAGGAAGAACCAGGGAGAGGAGTATAAATGTAAAATATAGTCTTCATTTTTTCTTAATCTTAATTTATCTAAAAGATAACTATTTGTTTAGAGTAATAATGTGGATGATTGTAGCATGTGGCCAAGTGAAATAAGTGAAAGCAATGTTATAATGGATAGGAGGAAGGAACTGAAGCTACGTTGTTATAAGTTATCTGCACTAAGGTGAAGTGGTATATGACCTTACATTAGTTGTAAATATATATTGCAAGCTTTAGGGGACTATTAAAAATTTAAATAAAAGTATAACTGTTATGCTAAGAGAGAAGAGAAAATAGAATCATACAAAATACTCAATTAAACCAGAGAAGGTGGAAAAAGAGAGTATGAGAGGCTGAATTTTACCCCATCCCCACCCCCAAAGTCACATGACGAAGTTCCCAGTATCTCAGAATGTGACTATATTTGGAGATAGGGCCTTTAAAGAGATAATAGGTAATTAGAATGGACCTAATCCAGCATGACTGATGACCTTATAAGAAGGGATCAAGACACACACACAGAGGGAAGAATCCGTGAGGACAATAATCAAAAGACAGTGATTTGCAAGCCAAGGAGATAGGTCTCAGGGAAAAAAAATGAACCTGCCAAAGTTCTGGACTTCCAGCCTCCAGAACTATGAGAAAATCAATTTGTATTGTTTAAGCCACCTAGTCTGTGGCATTTTGTTAAGACAACTTTAACAGACTAATTGAGGGGAAGAACAAAAAGAAACAAAGAATAAGTACAATGATTACAACACAGTTACAAATATGGTAGGTACTAATTCAACTACATCAATAATTATTTTAAATGTGAATGATCAAAATAAACCAATTTTAAAAACAGAGATTTTCAGAGTGGATTAAGAAAAAGAGAACCAACTATATGCTGTCTAAAGAAACAAAAAACACTTTAAAGACACCAAAAGGTTAAAAGTAAAGGAGTGGAGAGAAATAATATCATATTAACATTAACCAAAGAAAGCTGGAGTAGCAATATTAATTTCAGACAAAGTAGAATTCAGAACAAAAAAAATTATCAGAGAAAAGGAAAGGCATTACATCTTGTAGCATCAGAAAGTAGGTGCTAAAATAAACACATCTGTACACACACACGCACATCGATGGGGCTGTCAGAGGAACACAGGAGCCACCCGGAAGGACCCTGCATGGCCAAAGCTGGAACAATCTATGCAATCCAATAGATAGTATTGTATTCTACTAAAAGTAGAAAGTAAATATCTATTAGTCCATACCAATATGAGTAAATGATGGAATGAGTAAATCAGGGAGAAGAGACGAATCTCCCACACAGAAGAACTGTAGACACTCTGTCCTCAAGGAGGGACAACATAACTCGCCACTCCTCAGCTGTGGACTGGGCATGGTGGCTCCCTTCCAAAGAGCACAGTATGGAAAAGGAAGGGGGAGAATAACTTCGCAATGGAAAAACCTGACAAACATTACCTGAGTCAGGTAGTCA